TTGTGAAAAAAATATATGACAAAATAACTTATAATCATATTTTTGTAAAGTTCCGATGAAGTCTCCTTTAATTTTTTTGGTTTAATTTTTAAGCAGGTTTCAATAGAATTCTATTTTATCAGATAATTTTCAGATCTGAAAAAAAACTGTAAATTTATAAATGTCTAATTTAATGAAAAAATCAAAATATAATTTATAAAATGAAATAGTATCAATGTAAAAGCATAGAGTTTGAATCTATAATTTTATTTGAATATAAACATTAAAATACACTTCAAATCTATAGATCTAAAACTTTAATTTTTAGAGGGGGAGATGAAAAACATGGATGATAATACGTACAAAAACAATATAATATTGTAAGAAATACATGAGAAATAATAACAATTTAAACAGAAGTTTTTCTTCGTATTTAAAGAATTTAGAGAGAATTGAAAGAGTTTTAGAGATAAAGGAAACAGTTTTAGAGAAAAATAAGAGATTTTTAGAAACTTGTGCAGCAATTTTAGAGAGAGATTAAGTAAATTTTATTTATATAGAGAGATAAAACTAGGCATGGGCATCCGGTACCTCGGGTCGGGTTCGGGTTGGGTCCTATCGGGTCCTGTCGGGTCCGGATCCTTTGGGTCTTGGAAATTTAGACTCATATAGGTACTTATAATTTTTCGGGTCGGTTCCGGGTCGGGTCTTGTCGGGTCCGTATCGGTTCGGATCTTAAATCTGAAAACTTGTTAAAGACCTGTAAATTTTGGGTAATAAAGGTTCAAGGTCCGATTAAAAATTTTCAGTTATTTTTTGGTTCAGTTCTATTATATTTGGGTCGGTTTGAAGTAATTTGGGTAAATTAACCTGTATCCCGAAACTTGAACCTGCAATTCTATATTAAACGTGCTTAAAAATATTAAAACCAACATAAAACGTTTAACATAACAAACTTATATATTTTTGCAAGAAATTCAAAATCAGAAAGTACTAAATACCATAAAATAAATCCTCAGGCAACTTCAATCCTAAAAGCCAAAATAAAACAAAACAAGAGAACAACCAAATGGCAAATTACAGCTCCATCAAGTCTCAGTCTACGCTTCAAACAAGGTCCTTTGTTCCACACCTCCATGCATAATAACACATTTATACCAAGTCACTAAGACACTGAACAAGTAGATGTTTCATAATTAGCAGTGAGCCAATGACACTCACCTTTAAACCTTCTGCTGCAGAACTTCATATGTTCGGATCATAGACTTCTAAGTGCAGGTTCAAATTCTAAAATACATATGGCATTAGTGAAACTTAGCGTAGCAGTGAATTAAAAATAAAGTAAAAACACAAGGAATAAGCTTAAAGAGTTAAAAATACCTCTCATTAGATCATCTTTCTCCTCTATCTCCTTAAGAAGTTGTTCTTTTTTGATGAACCTTTTCCACTGATTTTAATCTCAGATTTCAACCATTGCTCAGTGCACATAAGCACTTCAATAATGTAATGGGTCAAACAACATCTACTTGCTTATAAAACTCGACCATTTGTACTAAAGGCTGATTCAGATGCAACTGAAGACACTTGCATAGCAAGTATATCTCTAGCTACAAGAGAAAGAATTGGATATTTATCACTATTCAATCTCCACCAAGAAAGAACATCATAATCTTTACCTCCATTATATTTGGGTTCTCCACATTCTCTTTCAAATATAGATCCAGCTCATCTGTTTTTTCTTGAAAACATGTGTCTTCGACAAGCTCATTGTATATGTCATTCATGCTCTCATAAGCAAGACCATTCCCAAGAACCGTTCTTTGAGATATTTCTTCACCAACTTGTTCTTGGGACTGAGAAGAAGCATCGTGAGAAAGAGTATGATTGGACTCTACACTAGCTGCAACACCCTTGTTGTACTCATCAAACAAGCTTCTCAAAATGTCTTCAGTCTCATTGGTTAGAAGAGTAACTTGAATACTGTCTTCACCATAAAGTTTCTCAAATAACTTAATGGTAATCTTCATCTTCTTACTTGGATCGAAAACACCAGCAACATTTACGAGTTTATTCATCTCAACTTTCTCCCCAAATGGATTCCAATACTTTCCCAATTTCTCAAACATGGTTGTAGCTTTAGACCTTAAAACTGCATCAGGACCAGGCGCCTTACTTAAAGCAGTAATGTTACTTTGCACAGTAACTATCGAATGGTATAGTTTTTGAGAACACACACTTGTAGAAGCAGAAAGCGTCAAAGTAGCCTTGTAGAAATGATCAACAATTGGACTAACCTGTTGACAGCTTCCAGTCTTCTTTACTTGGTGGCCCAATGCGTTTTTTTCTATCCAGAGTTTACTTCAACCTCCATTTTCTCAAAACCAACCTTGAACTTCAGAGCTTGTTCTAGCATGAGATAAGTTGAATTCCACATCCAAAGGCAAGCTCCCTCTATGAATTTTTCCTGATTCTAGTCGTTTCTCAAACGATACCTGTTTAGGTGTTGAAGACCTCACAAAGTAGATTCCATTTCGAATAACATTGATATTGTTATCTATCTCCATTAGTCCATCTTTAACGATCAAGTTGAGTATGTGAGTAGCACACCTCACATGTAGATAACGACCATTAAGAACCATTGCATCATCTCCATTCTCAACGAATTCTTCCTTGAATCTCCTCATGGCAGAACTGTTGGTTGTGGCATTATCAACAGTGATTGAGAACACTCGCTTAATCTCCCATTCTGCTAAACATTCAATAAGAGCCTTACTAATGGTTGCACCTTCGTGATCATAAACATTTTTGAACCTAACTATCATCTTCTTTAGCTGCCACCAGGAATCAACAAAATGAGCTGTTATAACCATATGACTAGCTCCTATATGAGGTGCTTTCCATATGTGTGTTGTCAATGACAGCCTCTGATTATTAGCACCAAGAATCTTATTCATTGCAGCTTTCTTTTTCACATACATTTAAACAATATCTTTAGTAGTTGTTCTCCTAGAATGCGGTTTGTGCAGTTTGATTTTGTCATAGAAGTATTTCCATGCTAAACCATCATCCTAAACTAATTGCAATTCTCCCAAAACCATCATTTCATTAGTAGCTTCCCTAAACACTTCTTTAGAAACCTTAGAGATCTCAATACTACCATCATCACCATCTTGATCTAAATTAGACTGTTTCTGGAATTTGTTTGCAGCTTCCCATACCTGATAAGATTTGCAAACAAATTTTAAATGCTTCTTCAAATTCGATGTCCCTGATCTCGTTGGACAAACCATAACCCTCCCACAATAGTTACATTTCGCTTTGTCATGATCCTCTTGTAGTCTTGTGAAGTGATCCCATACAAAAGACGTTGTTTTCTTTTTTTGATGTTGGTTTTGAAGCACTTCCACCACCATAAGTTTCTTTACGTTTACGAGAAATAGGCGTCCTAGCATCATCATCACTTGAACTTCCACCAGAATCACCATTTTCACCACACCTTGGATTTTTCTTTTCAACCGGATTATCACAAGAGGCCATCTGAAAAACAATCAAAACGAAATCATAATCAAACACAAAAACATAAATAAAAACAATCAAAACAAAATTAAGTGAATAGCAATAAATCAAAAACGAAACCAAACCATAATCAATGACAAAAAGTTGAGAGTACCAAATAATTAAGAATCTAGGGTTTATATTTCATAATTACCACAGAGATATTTCAAGAAGTCTCAGAAAGAGGAGAAGAAGAAATTAGATGATTTTGACTTAGGGTTTCCAGTTTGATTGATGAGTGATTTCGGTTTTGTTAATGAAATTGAAGACTGTTTGGGGGAATGGAAACGACAGGAGGAGATACCGAGGTCCAGAGGAGATGTCGTAATTTAAAGTTTTGAAACACGCGTGTTGTTGATTTTTTGCAGGTTAAACTAATACCCGACGGGTAGCGGATCCGAACCTGTACCCACGGGTCTACAAACAAATTATCCAACAGGTTAATCTATATATAATCGAACCTGTACTCGAACCTGGAATTTCGGGTCGGTTCCGGTTCGGGTTTTAGGGTCCAGGTTAAAATGTCCAGGCCTAGATAAAACAAGATCATGACATTGTACACGTCTTTTGAAGGCTACTAAAATTAAAATTTTGGAATAGACTTGAGTGTAAATCTACTATGTAAATTTCATTATTATTATTTACTTTTTATTATTTTAATCATTTTAATATATGATCTTACAATTTTTGAATATTAGTTTTGGAGATTTTCATTTTCTTAATCTCAATAACATATGAGAGCTTTTTTGTTAAACCATGAACATTATCTAATAAATGGTTATCAAATTAACATATATATTCTCTTATATTGTTCAATTATATAAAAATTAATGTATTTACTTCATCTTAATCTTTATATTATGGTTTATTAAAGAGTTTTTAAAAATAACTATTTTATACATTTTTAAAACTAAATTATTAGATTAATTTATGATGTAGATTACTTAATAAGTCTACATAGTATAGACATCTTAGAAAGTTTACAAGAACGACAAAAAAAATAAAATATATTTATTTTTTTGTTTTGTCATAAGGGTTTAATAGTAATCTTTAGGGTGGTTTTGTATTTGATTGAATATGAAGAATATATATTTATATTTAAAATAATTATATAGATTATTTTTGGCAAATCTTCAAAAATCAAATTAAAAAATCAAATTCTAAGCCGGAGTATAACTTAAAATAACAGTTACTATTGAAGAAAGAGAGTAATGATTATCAACACAGATATTTTATACCAAGATATAAAGAAAAAGGCTATAGACACTTTTAAAAGATGACAGAAAAACTTTAAACAGTAAATAAAACGTTATAATAATAATACACTATATTTTTATGTTTTCTTTCTTTCCGTGTCGGTAGATAGAATTCCAAATTTTCTTCATCATTTCTTCTTTCAGTTTTTCTCTCTCTTTCCTTTGGTCCTTATAATACTAATTATAACCTTTGAAATAAAGTGAAAATGGACGGCTAAGATGTAGCGTGAGCAAAGTTGGCGGAGGCAAATAAGGAGCGTGGAATAAAAGAAAGAGTCGAGTCCACATGGGCGGCCATAACGCTTGTGTCCTACCTTTGTCTCCTTGCCTCATTCTTGCCTTTCATGCTCCCGACAACTTCTATCTCTCTTCTTTTAAACCTAACTTCTATGCATCTTCACCCTCCTTTTATATATCTATCTCCTCTTTCCTCTAAGTCCATCATCAACCAGATTCACCAACAAGAACAAAAAGAAAAAGAAAAACAAGAACAAGAAGAAAAACAAGAACAAGAAAAGGATATTACACAAGAACATAGAGAGAGATATTTCTTAATCATAAAAAGCAATGGCTTACGAGAAAGTTAATGAGCTTAACCTTAAGGATACAGAGCTTCGTCTTGGACTACCCGGAACAGAACAAGTTAAAGAAGAACAAGAAGTTTCTTGCGTTAGAAGCAACAAGCGTCAACTACAAAGCGATATCGAGGAAGAATCAACACCTCCTACGAAGTAAGTAAAAATCTGAGTTCCAATCTATATTTCATTATCTAAATTACTGATTAATTGTTGTACTAATTATGATTCTTTGCTAATTTACAGAACTCAAATCGTTGGTTGGCCTCCAGTGAGATCTTACCGCAAGAACAACAACAGTGTGAGCTATGTGAAAGTGAGTATGGACGGAGCTCCATACCTCCGTAAAATTGATCTCAAAATATACAAAAACTATACAGAGCTTCTCAAGGCGTTAGAGATCATGTTCAAGTTCACGATAGGTGAATACAGCGAAAGAGAAGGATACAAAGGATCTGGAGTTGTACCAACGTACGAAGATAAAGATGGAGACTGGATGTTGGTTGGTGATGTCCCATGGGATATGTTCTCTTCTTCTTGTAAGAGACTCAGAATCATGAAAGGACCCGATGCTCTTGCTTTAGACTCTGCTATATGATGATGAAGATGACATTTCGATGAGATTTGGATGAATGAAATCCTTTTTGATTTGGCTCTGATCGGTGTTTGAGTAGTTGACCACACCAAAAACAAAACAGTTGACGGTTTTGTCCAACGGGATAAGATCCATCTCCAAGTGATTTTCTTTTTCTTTTTGTTTGGTTTTAGATTTGAAGGAGTTTGATGTAAAGATACATGAAAGTTTATGTATAATACGGACATATACACAATATATATGCATATGTAGCAGTTTCTTGAGGAAATACAGTTTTGAATTTCATAATAATTAATGCCCAAAATAATTTACAATGAAGAACACACATAATCGTCTTAAAACCAAAATACAATGTTACTAGTCTCGAACTCGAACCCGAAAAACAGAAGTGTGTTTGAAAGTAGATGATTGCTTCGATATTCTTTACACCATTCTCCTCTTGCCATTTTCTAGATATGTTAGGAAGTAAGACATTATATATTCTAGCAAATGTATAAAAAGAATCCCTCAAAGAATATAAACTGAAACCGTCTTGTGGAAACGAAGTATAACATCTCTTTAGTGAACCTAAAGTATTGGACTGGCTTAAAATTAGTAACAGGCTAGTGCCGCCAATAACCATTTTGTGATTTGCAACACATGACTCCAATACTCTATAATGGAAAAATAAGGTGTTCGTAGATCTCAGGCATGTTAATCTCTAATATGTTTCCAGTTTCCTCATAGTTATTAGAAATGATTATTTGCATATAAAAATAGATTTTCTTACACACATTTTGATAAATTTGGAGAAAAGTTTAAAACGATATTATAGTGTCTGGCAGTTGTGTTGATTAGCTTCAAGCTTAGTTATTCAACATCTTTAATTTGTCTAACAAGTATTTAACATATTACAGAACCTTTACTGATCATTTTTTCTCATAAATCTGCACGTATCTCTACTTTTAGTTATATTTTTGTTTGATACTTTTAGTTATTGTTGTCGAAAAGAAAAAGAAAATCTACACATATCTCCAGTTGCACGAGGTATGTGCAGGTTATATATAAGCCGAAATGATAAAGAAAGACATCAATCCGACTAAATCAACCTATGACTTTAATTAATGTTCTTCAAATCTATCAAAAGGCAATAGAGTTTCAGAAAACAGAGGTGATTTTCGATAAATTATTGTGTGGGATATCCTCTGGGACGTTGAGCTTGAAAAAAAGGAGTAGATTATTTAGTTTGGTGTTCAAATAAGTTTCCTTTAAATCTACTGCATACTCATATCTCCAAGGAAAGTAGAGACTCTGTGAACTCCCACTGAGATGACTGGCGTGTCAGCATTTTTCCTTCACCATGATCAGGTCTAAAGCTCAAAACTTGGAATGAATCTTCTACTCAGTTTGATATATAGAGTTTGTCTACGCTGTTGGATGGTACATTGGTTAACTCAATTAGACAATGTTACGCTACACTGAGTTAACGCAAATTAAGATTCTAAATTTTTGGTACAATATGGTTGATGATTGGTACATGTTATTATTCCTTGGTCACGTTTAGCTGTATACCAATGGGACGGCAATGTTGCAGTTTCCTCTGGCTAATAACACACTTTTGCAGTTTCAAGTGCTTCTTAACTAATTTCACAAACAAGAAGCTGTAACATGTAAATCAAGACCGAGTGATTATCATAAAACCTTTCCAGGTATAACGAAGTAACGCCCTCTGTGGGTTCATACCCACAGCCACAAAGATAAGGAGTAGGTTTTCTATAACTAGGCTACAAATTAAATTACTAGTAAGTCTTGTTCAAAATAACATGAAAAAATAATGAAATAACTGTGCAAAAAAAAAACAATGTGACTGGGAATTAAGACTTTTTAAACTTTAAAAGTATTGAAATGAAAGTCTATAAAGACAATATTTTTACCAACCACACTTTTGCCTTCTTAAAATATTTCAAAGTCTCTAAAGCATTTTTACCAATCACACTTTTGCCAAACAATGTCATTATTTTAAAAGTCTTAACAGTAAAATGCCAAACAAGTACTAAGCAATCACAAGTATCTCTTTCTTTTAATTTTGCGCGGTTGGTAAATTTGCACTAAACTTGGAAGATAAAAATAGAATCCGCACTCTAGTTTCCTCATCTCTTTAGGAGATTTCCCAATTCTCACAGATTTTAAACATTGATCTTCTCCAATGATATAAGCTGTTTTGTAGATACCGGTCGAGTCTTCTTCGCCTTTGGCAAAAACCGTAGCAACTCTCTTCTCCTCATCAATGAAGAAGCTAAACGCATAACCATTGAATGGTTTGATACTCATAAACACCTTAAATTTTCTCCATGACACTGTGTTGGACTCGATCTTATTCGTAACCCAAATCTCGAATATCTCCTTTCTCTCTAGATAGAGTACAGCGAGCTGCTTTTCCCTAGCACATGACAGGGTCACAGGATATCCAACAATGTGACAAGGAAGAGGTAGACGCTGTCTGAATCTCTCTCTGGTATAATCAAAACAGAGTTAAAAATAAGCTGGCTCTCTTTTATCAGAAGCAATAAAGTAAGTATCTCTCTTCAAAGAAACGCCGCATTGGTATGGTGGAATCCTCCAGTCATCACGTATGCTAAGAACTTTCCATGAATCTGATCTAAAATCGTAGATCTCATACTTAAACACAGCTTTGCGACAATCAGAAAACTTTAAGATCTTATGGTTACCGTTGCTGTCATGTCCAAGTGCATACGGGTTAGTAGTTTGGAGGTTTCGTATAGGTTTAATCAACCTTGTATGCTCCACATACGGATTACATACCAAGATCTCCTCATGGTTACTGGTGACACATAACACTAAACCGTCATAGTGGAACACTTTAGATATCTCGTTGCGATTAAATCTTTCTATTTTCATTTATAGATATATCGACAAAGCCGTTGCGGACTCCTTGGAGATCGAATCTCACTAGAGGATGAGTGTCAGTCTCTCTCGCTAGAGGCGATTTCCGGCGACCCTATTTTGGCGCTCATTTCCTTTTTTTAAATAATCGCTGTCCCTCACCTTGAGTGGATCCAATTACCGGCCCTTTTGCCACGGTATTCTTTAAGGAAAGTAGATTCTACATTCCTCTTCTGGTCCAGTCTCGAGTCATCTCCTGCCTTATTCTAAACAACTCTAGCGAGCTCTTTCCTTAAATTCTCTTGAGAATATAGTCACTTTCCTGTTTTCAATGATTTCATTAAAGATTGTGGTCGATTTTAGCGTGGTTAAAGGGAAATCTCCTCATTCACGGTGGATCTTCTCCTAAACAATTCTCCTCTCCGACGGGTATCTTTCTCTGTCTGCGACGAATTGTGTATGGCTATAGCAGATCTACTTCATAAGGCGATTGTTGCTATGTCTCTGGAGGAGGAAGAACCTCTGGACCTCGGTGATGATCCAAGTTTCAGAGTGGTTAGTGAAAATGGAAAGAGTCTAATGGGCCGTCTTTTGAATCCTGAGTGTCAGTCGATGGCTCGTATGATAGACTACATGCCAACTGCGTGGAGGGTTGTTGGAAGAGTTCGCGGGATCGTGCTATCAAGAGATAGGTTTCAGTTTATTTTCTAGAGGGAGGAGGACTTGGAAACGGTGCTGAAAGATAGACCATGGTCTTATAACCATTGGTCTATGGCTCTGGAGAGATGGACTGAGTACCCTGATGATGACTTTCTGAAGACAATGATGCTGTGGGTGCGTATTAGAAACATCCCTGTTAACTTCTTCACCATGAAAACGATGTTCAAGCTAGCGTCAGAAGTGGGATCTGTGGAAGAAATTGCTTATGACCCTGAGATCTCTCACACAAAGGAGTATATAAGAGTTCTCATCAAATTTAATGTGGAGAACCCTTTGAAAGCTACACGGAAGTTGACGATTCCTGGTGAAGTGGTTACGATTGAATATGAATATGAAAAAATTCATAAAATATGTTTCCACTGTCAGCGCATGACTCATGAGAGGAATCAATGCCCGTTGACAAGAAAAGGTGCTGGCAGAGGTATCCCGATGGAGACAAAGCACGTAGGAGATCAAGACAATCATCCCTCTAAAGCTGCTCAATCTATGCCACGTTAGATAAGTGGGACAGTCCTTCTGGTTTCCCTCCCATGTTCCCTGAACTGTCAAAGAAAGATCAGAGAATGGCAATGTTATACATTTCTCATGCTGATGATACTGAGAGGAGGGCGCGTATTGAGAGAGTTAAAAAAGGCATTGCAGACAGCCAAGCAGAGTCATCAGCTATGATCACAAAAATAACAAGAGACTTGGACAAGGGTAAAGGTCATGTCTTCTCATTTCCAGAAGCTGCAGAGAAACGTCACCAAGGAACACTCATGTCTTCTCATTTCCAGAACCTGCAGAGAAACGTCACCAAGGAACACTTACTATATGTGAAAGTGCATCATACCAGAATGAGACGCTGGAAAGTGAAGCAGAGTCGGGCTCTTCGACGATACAATGCCCTGTTTTCTCTGCTCCTGCTATGGTCTCTACGGGTTTTCACTTAGGCCCTTCCTCGGAGGGGCGTGTCACCGGAAACCAAAGCTTGAGCAAGTCCCTGAGAAATCATCCTCCATCATGGAAGCGGAGAGCGAACTTAAAACCAGTAAATGGCCATCATACGACATCCTCTATTCCAGCAACTTCATCCCCTGCAACAATGAAAAGGAAACCTACGGCTTCTCTAGTATCGACAGACAACAAAACCCCAAAAACCTCAAACCCTACGGTGGCTTCTGTATTGAAGCCACTGCTTCCCCAATGAGTATAATGAGCTGGAACTGTCAAGGAGCAGGAAGTTCTGAGACAGTTCAACAAATTCGGGAGTATCGCCGCAAATATTTTCCGGATTTTTTGTTTTTGAGGGAAACGAAGCAGAAGTTTGAGTATGTGAATGGTTTGAAGAAAAGTTTGTGTTATGATAAAATAATTACTGTGGAACTGGAAGGGTTAAGTGGTGGTTTGGCTCTACTATGGAAGGATAACTATCAAGTTGAGGTGTTGTCTAGTGACAAGAGAATTATTGATCTGAAGGTGTCGATAGGTTCTACATCTTTTTTCCTAAGTTGTGTCTATGGTGATCCGGTTCGAGCTAAAAGACGGGAAGTATGGGATCGCTTGACACTGATTGGTCTGGTGAGGGATGAAGCTTGGCTGTTAGCTGGAGATTTTAAGGAGTTGCTGTGTAATGATGAGAAAAGTGGTGGGGCAGTTCGTGATGAGTCTACGTTTTGGGACTTTAGGAACATGGTACAGAACTATAAACTGAAAGAAGTTAGACAT